GACGCACTAATGAGCAACCCTGTATATATATCGATGTATATTCAGATAGAATCTTATTTTTAAACTTCAGTGGCAGAAAAGCATATCAGTTTTATGGCTATTCAATTAAAGTTCAGTTTTATGCCTATTTTTTCGAACTAAACGCCAAACAATTAGCTCGAGGAGAAAACCCTTACACCAGTGGACATGGGGAAAAGTTTTTATTTATGGGAATTGCCAGCCATTCCTCATCAAGGAAGAAGGAAGAGCAAGGCTGCATGTACTTGCCCCAGGGGAACACGGTGGTATCACTTTTATGTCACGCACATTACAATGTTAGTGCGACGGACATTGAGAGGCAATGGAATACCCCATGTTCTAAGCCCAAAGACGAAAAAACTGTTAAATTAATAAACTTATAATGCTTGCGATCTGGAGCCCAGCACTTCACCCTTTTAAGACTCTGAAACGTGTTGGTTTTGTAAATATATTTAAATAACACTCTAATATTGTATTGTTGTTAAGTATATTTTCCCAATTTTCTTTCTATTTCGATGGAATTGCTGAACTTTAACCTAAAAATGATAAAGTTAAATCGATATATTCCCGAGAAGCTACACTAAAGATACTGCCTAAACTATTTGAGATGGTACAAAGCATATACCACACCAATACGTTTTCTTTACACATAGATCAAACACGTTGGAGGCACACAAAATCGGAAAATCCAAAAATTCCGTTGAAAACGGTTCAATATTTGGATTAAAAACGCTGACCTATCCGACCAACAACGCCGGATGCTTCGCCATAGATAAAACTGATCACGTCACACTAATGGTGCGAATACGGGAATACGGCTTGTCGTTGAATTCGCATGCGCAACGCAAAAAGTTCTACCAAAGACAATTTTAACTTTTTTTCTAATTTAAGCAGTTTACGAATTATATGATAATTAAAAAAGTGTTGATTTCTTGCCTTTTCAGGATATTTCAGGAACCAAGTCGGGTACCTAAATTTTAGAAACGGTAATGAATAGGCAATTGAATTCTGCCAATTTTGCTCATTTAACGGATTCTCTATCTTTAAAAATATAGAAGTTACCCATAGAAAAATTCAGAAAATGGTCACCCTGTTTATCGTCATATACATCGATATGCCATATGGCAAATTATAATTAGGAGAAATTTGAAAATTAGACGATTGGCCACACGCCCGGTTATACCGGAAGCAGGTATCAACTTTCTTATTTTAAAACGTACACAATGTATACGAGATTCGATTAAGAAAAAGCCGGAATAAGATTTAGAACTGGTTTTATGTTGTAACTTGTAGCAACGAATGTTCTATTTTCGAAATACTAATACTAGTTTTAAATTTCAGGCAGTTTCTGGGCCTCGAGGTTAGGGGCCAAAAATGTACTGGTCTTCAGTGTTTTGCTGTGGAGCATAGCAACATTTATCACACCATTTCTTGCTAGCAGTGTGGCAGCTTTAATGGCTTGCCGCATTGTTTTGGGCTTTGCGGAAGGGCTTGGTAAGCATTATACTAACAATTTGTAATATCAATCATTAATTTGCCTCAGAAATTATTAATAAATTGGTTTATATACTCACCCAACCAACTATATGAGCCGTTTCATTAGAAAGTGGCGTCCTCTTTTGAAATTAATCTAGTTAGTCTCGTAATAATTACATTTTTTCAGGCTCTATCCATTCCGAGTTGCTTGTCACTGGTATACAGTGCTTTCAATTTTAAACGAGCCAACTTACATAATATAATTTTGCCAGTAATTTTACGGTTTTGTAAAGACTATACGTAAATTTTGATATAAGAAGACATTCAAAATAACATTTTAACTAGGTTTATGCACAACTGTTATAGAGTGTGTCTACTTACGTTCGCACCATATGGCAAACTTTCTTATTATTGATTTTACGAAAAAAAGTTATTCTTTTTTTGTAAAATTTCTTTTATAAGAATCGATACCACCGTAACTTAGTGTGACTGTTCAGTTTTTCAAATACGTGGAAAAACATCATTTTAAGACATAAAAGTGTTCATTCCGATAGTGGAACATAACAAAAAATGGTATTGTACACGCAACTTGTGGAAGAATAATCAAAAAAGCTCACAAACAGAAGAACTAAATTAGGGCGGCGCAAAAGACGTTACTTTTAAAAAACTTACGAAAAAAGTTATTCTTTTTTTTGTAAAACTTCTTTTAAAAGAACCATCGCCCTCAATCGATGCCACCGAAAGTTAGTGTGAGGTTCGGTGGTATCGCCTCAATGCATTTTCTAAAGTTTCGTCAGAATAATTCTTATGATTCCTAATCCCAAACTTTCTTTTGTAATTTTTAGGCATGCTCGCAACTTGCAGGTTACACACTTTTGGACATCAAAATATTTAAAACGTTTTAAAAAAAAATTAAAATTTAAAACCAAACTTTCGATAAAAATTTAGAGTGCCTTCTAGCGATCCCGAAAATACCGCCAACTTAGATAGTTTGATAATTAGCAACGAAATTTATGCACATACACCGAGCTACAGGCCGATACTAACGATAAACATGCTCGTGGTTGAGGACGGATTTAATCTAGGGTAGTTGTAAAATCATATTGCTCAGTGAATCATTATTGATCATCCTGTTGCAAGTTGTACCAGAGTTACAAGTAACCCCACCTTACGGTACCAATCGATTTAAAAAATTGAAGTTCCCCATCTTACGTTAACAGAGCCATGCATAAAAAAGTTGATATCACCTTCGGCTTTCCCCCTAGCAATTACACAACATTTGTATAAAACATTTTCTTGTAATTGCTATAATTAACGAGATATTTGACTGGTTCTTTTAACATAATACCCTATATAATAAAATTATTGTAAACAAATACGTTTATTTTTTACAGGTCTGCCTACCATATTTCACCTGTTTGCGCATAGTATACCCGTTGAAGAACGTTCACGAGCATTTTCATACCTTCTGGCGTCGGGTTCTGTAGGGCAAACAGTTGCCTCAATTCTGTGCCCCCATTTCCCTTGGGAATCCTGCTTCTTCTGGTTCGGTTCATTTGGGTTCTTCTGGATATTCTTATGGTACGGCTTCTATCCTCGAGATGTATTTGGGGGAGAAGAAACCATACCATTACACATGCCAAAAGTAGTCAGCCACAACATTCGATGGGCAGACTTTATATTAAGTAAGCCTTTGTGGGCTATTTATGCGGCACATTTTGCTATGAACTGGTCATCGTACATAATTATGAACTGGCTGCCTACATATATGCATACGTTCTTAGGTGCGAATGCACACAGTCTCAGTTTGACTGCTGTACCTTACATTATCAATTCAATCTTCGGAATTATATCAGGACACGTAGCCGATGGACTTCTACTGAATAAGAGTTGGAGCGTTTTAAATGTGCGTAGACTTATGACATGTATCGGCCTGGTTGGACCAGCACTGTTTCTCGCTATGTTTGGTGTAGTGGAGCATTTGGCCTTTGCTCTAATTTTAGTAAGTGTTTCAATGGGATTGAGTGCTTGTAACTCAGCGGGACATCTGAGCAATCACGTGGATGTGGCTCCCAACCACGCCGGTACTACTTTTGCAGTTAGTAATACTATAGCTACCATTCCAGGTATATTGTGTGGACATGTGACCGCTAGTTTAGTTACCATGTCCGATGGCAAGTGGTTAGGAGTGTTTTTAGGGGCTACGTTTGTCAATTTAGCTGGAGCTTTTATTTATTTTACAAACAGTGTGGCAACCCAAATTCTGTAAATTTGTATATATTTTGCTGTTAAAAATCAAGGTAAAGTGATATTTATACATAGAAGTTATTAAATGCCTATGTATAATAAAATTCGTTTTAAATAGATTATAGATTAAAAAAAATGAGTTGTTATTTTCTTATAATCTCAAGGATGGAAAATTTCTGAACGGTTTTCTGTGCGGTAATAATTGTGTTAAATGGAATATGTCTTTCTGGGTTCCATAAATTTTTCACAACAAATAAATTGTAAGCAACCTGGGTAAATGGAGCAAACAGTAGGTAGGCGGAACCCACCCACGACGGGAGTGGCAACATCGGGGCTGCTTCATGGTTGTGACGGGAGATGGCGCGGCGCTCTTGGCGAAAAACAACTGGTGGTGTTGCCAGGGGTTTATTATTATTGATTTGATGGTGATCGTGAAGAATTGTTAATTAAATCATTGAATTTTGCATCGAGTGTATTCTTTCCTAAAGTTCAAGTCATCATGCAATCACTAAATCACTTTAGTAATTTAGTAGGGGAACACGGAAGAACGCAAATTGTTTTTCGTACGATTTTGAAAGGCATTCGGGCGTCCCATGGAAGTGATAGATGCCGACCATTGGAACCCCATCCACTAAACACAAAAAACAAATTCTAATTCAATTTTGCTGGCTACTTCAATAAATGTTGAAGGCGTATCTACAGATAAGGAACATCTCCTGTCGAACTTAGGCAAGGCGAACGGCACCGACCTCTTCATCATCATCAAACCGCTATACAGGATGATTCAAAATTGGCGTCATTCCTTTTAAGGGGCTATATAGGCTCGAGAGTATAGAGTACGAGAAAAATTGAAATGTTTTCTTTCGAAAATTTCGAGGACATATTAATAGTTGAAAATCGAATTTCAACTTTGTTATAATTGGAGATGGGCTAAAGCGTGAATTTAAAATCAGTGTTATAACTGTGAATGTGATTTCACTTGTGGTTGCCGTTTTTGTGCTCAACGATCAGTAGCGTGTTATAAGGTGAGGAATTTGTGCGTCACTTGCAGAAACAATTTTAAAACGTTAGTAATTCATATTTTTTAATAAATAACCTTATTTAGGTAAACAAGAAATAATATTCTTTGTGAACAAGCTATATTTGCTTTTAATTGTTGATCTCAAAAAACATTATTTGAGTGATGATAGGTACAAAAATATTACTTTCTAATTATACTTTTTTTTAAGATAATAAGCTATTTGTACTTTTTAAGCGGACCTAGATTAATGATCATAAATAGTAGAATTTTGGTTTTGGTGGCGCTAAGGCGATTTTTTCTATCCGTTGAAATTATTCCGGCTTTAGAGAACAGCGGGTCGCAATTGCACTAAGGCGTTCTTGTACCACTATTGCTAATATGGTGTTGGCACTTTTTTTACATGTTGATATATAGAAAGTAGTTATGGCAAACATGACAATGTTGTCATAATAATTTTAATAATAATAATGTCTTCATAATAATTTTAAAACGAATTTAAATTCAAATTAGATATTTTCCGCCAAAAACGCCGAATCCGTATCGTCGGTTGCCTATTCCGATTATGACGTAGCAAGCCATATCAACAAAGTGTTTCGTGTTTATTTTGCTGTTTTCGCAGCTTTGTTCTATTATTTAAGTTATTGTGATTATCATTATTTTATTGATTATTATTATTATCTTGCATAATGGAAAATAGTGACATGTATGGATCATAAAATAAGTGGTGTTTTGAGAATACCTCAATAAGTGCTTCAAACATTCCAACAAACAAAAAACAAACGTTCCCCATGATTATGAACTTAAAGTTTTATGGTTCAAAGCAGCTAGACGTGATGGTCCTAAATAAAAATAAATGTTTTTTGTTGTAAGGATCATTTTAACGAAAGTACRAACAAAAAGCTAATTATGAGGCCGACAGAATATGATTTCGATCGTACTCTGTGTTCTGGGCAAATTCTACCTTGTACAGTGCACAAAGAACGCTCGCGTTTCAATTCCACATATCCGATATCACAATATTGTTCTCGTGATGCCCAAAATACAAGTTTAAGAGTTCATTTTACTTTTAAAGCAGCCATGTGTATCTATGTTAGGTTAAGTTGAATAAGTGAAATTCTATATATTATTTACCTAATTTAAACCAATACAGACAGATTGGTATATTAAGGAGAGAGTAACTAATAATGAAGTTACGGATTTTTACTTACGCTGCTGCTTTGACAAACTTAAATTAAGCTGAATTAAAGCGTTAGTCGTTTTTTAAAAATTCGGTAACTATAAAAATATGTACACATGGTAAATTGTTTGTTGACGCTTTAGGAATGCTTCTAAAGCCATTTTTTAGCTTAACACAAACTATAAATTATTTAAATCCACGAAATGATTAACGAAACACAACCACACAACTAAACACTATGCACAGACCGTAAACAATTCACCATTTATATGACCAGAGACGTCACCACCAATAGGATTGCGTTTTAGAGATTCATTGAATATTTTGCATTTTAGCTGAATTTGTTTATTAAATATTTAACAAGATAGATAGTATAAACTTATTTAATCTTTCATATATATATTACCATAGATTAATGTTCAGTTTGTAGGAATTTTTGATACACTGAAAACACCCTATTGCAGAACAAACATGTATTTTCTCTCCACCATTTTGGAGGATATTCTTTTCGAGGGGGCAAGTCGCAATCAACATACCTCTGTACTTCTACAATTGCTTTGCTGGTCGCTGTTCCCGCAAGCTCATATTATGCAGCATGTCCATCAAAATCAGGTTCATGCAATCAGCCCAAATATCTTTCATTTCGGAATTTTTTTGGATGTTGATTTACCGATATTTACACTAACCGGCACGTCGGTTGAAAATACTTACTTACTTATACTTAATATAATACAGCTACTATGGAAATTACATTCTTTTTTGCAAGTTCAGCGTATTTCTTGTCTTTAAAAGCCAGGTGTTTTTGCCTTGGATCTTAGAAACGTCGCTATGGATAAGATATTAATTTCTGAATATCTCATCAGATCTTTCAAAGACGTCTGTAATTTCTCAGCAACTTTTTCGGTACACTCCATAAATTACTTTTTGTCCAAATTTTTATAGACGGAATTTAATCCATTGACTATTGGACCTACAAGGGATGCGGTCAAATCATATTCTCCCCATACAGTTTTTGTCACGTCTTCAACGATTTATTCAATAACAGTCAAACCTGTGTGAGTCAAACGCCGGTCTATATCCATATTAATCAGAACCATGGTTGCGATTATGGCGTCTTCCAAAACCATAATTCTCTCCAACATGTAATATATTGAGTTCCAACGTGTGGTAATATCTTGCGAACGTTTTAATGGTGCGCTATTCCCCTAATTCTTTTAGTGCGTTATAGGTTTAGACTAAGTGAGCAACAAGAAATCTTATTTTGTTTCAAATTCTAGATTTTTCTTCTTCTTTTAAACCATCGTTTACAACAAGATTGACGGTGGTGCAACGCAGCCAAAATGGTTCCATTGTAACTCCCTTTGAATAACTGCTGTGATATTTGCTACGTTATCAGACACCACCATTAAAACTTGATTCTGTAGATTCGTTTCTTGAATAATCCTTTTCAGTTCAGAAGCAAGATTTACTGCTGTATGCTGTACCGGTAATACAGAACATTCCAAGAGAAGTGAGATTAGTTTAAAATTTTAATTTAAAAAGTGAACCGTCACAGCCGGATTCTTGGAGAGCTTTCCATGTTAATGGAAGTAATCAGTTGTGACACATTTAGCCGATTTCAATAATTTCTGAGTTTCAGGAACGCATTTTTCATGTTTCAGGTTTCAGAGTTTCAGGAACGCATATAGCTGGTAAAAGCGTTCTCGATATCATGTCCCTGCTTGATTTAATGCAAATACTAATGCCCGGAAAGCCTTTTCTTCGACAATGCGAAACGGCTGAAAAGTATCCGTAAACAGATGCAGTGGTTTTTTGGCTACTTTGAACGGAGCTGCATATTTTAACGAAATTTGACATACAGAGGTTTTTGAGTATAAGAAATCCAAGTCTATCATCAGATGTTAATCAACTTGTAGAAAAAATCACTTACGGCAATATCTGGGCAAAAAAATTGTTTTAACTTTTTGATCACCCGGTATTCTGACTTCTAAACTGGTTGAGTCTAATCGCCTATTAATTTTGTACAAAAAAGGTATTCTTAGTCGATGTTCCAACAAGCCTCTGTTTCCGAGATATTAAAAAAAAAGTACAAAAAGTTGAAACAATTTTTTTTGCCCAGATATCGCCGTAAGTGGTTTTTCTACAAGTTGTTCAAAATCTGATGATAGACTTTTATTTTTTATGCACAAAGACCTCTGTATACCAAATTTCGTTCGTTAAAATATGCAGCTCCGTCCAAAGTAGAATAACAAAAAACTGAAATAAAAATGTAACTTTGACGCCCTCGGGTCGGCAACCGTCAACTTTTGGACTAAGGTAAGTTGTGGTAAATCATCATATTTTCACCCCAGGAATCCACCATTTTGTTTTGTGCCATTACTTTTGGGACACCCTGTATATAATATATAAAAATAAATATTTTTTTATATTTAGGTCATTATATATTACACGTCATTGCACTTTTATTTTTTTTAGATTTGACCACTAAAAAACTCACCTCAGTATCTTCGCGAAAAGTTCCAGAATTTATTGATATTGTGGGAGGTTTGCATTCAATGTGCCGTTTTAAATTCGACGTACTTGTTTTGCAAGATAGATTTGCTTTGCATAAATTTATTTTGAAAAATGATCATCTAATGCAGAAAAGAAAATATACATATTTTATACAATAAACAATTTCGCTTTTCAAAAAAAAGAACCGCATTCCCAGAAAATAATTTAAAAAATACACAATCAGAATACGGCTAGTGAATGGTGCATACTGAAATAGGTGCCTAAAAATATCAATAAAATTCAGGCTCATGGGAAGCCGTGAATGCAAGCTTTCATTAGCGAACAAAATAACTTTATTTGGGTTCGTTGTTTCGCCGGGCCACATGTGCAACATATGATCACTACACGCAACTCGCATTAGCTGTGAAAAGTCGCTTTTTAATATCACGTTTTAGATCACTGTTTATTTGTACGTTCGTCACAGATTGTGATTTATTAATCACTGTGAAAAAATCACATGTAGTGATTTGTTGCTTAAATCTAGTAATGCGTATAATACAGTATCAATTTGATCACAATTTTTAACTAATAAAACATTCAATATGGGGCTCCCATTTACTGAAATACCATGAATTTCGGTCCCCCCATTCCAAACGTGAGTACCCCAAGCCATTTCCGTTACACTGCCCCCTTCTAAACCCTGATCGCCCCGATTAGGTAATTCCTGGATCATGGTTATATCTGACCACACGGTGAATGTGGACAACTTTAAATTTTGCCTGAGGGCTCTTCTAATTGCTCATCAACAGTTCAACGCCGCCCACGTCGGGAGGCTTTTCGCTGGTGTTCTCTTGACGCACCACGTTGTCCATCCATTGCATCAGCGTCCTCACCAGGTTGAAGAACTTGAACAGATCGTCAGTATCGGCCAGTTTTCCTCTGCGCTGCTCGCAAACCATTTGCAAACTGGCCCACGCAGACACCACTTCTTGTTCTCTATTTGAAATCTCGTTCGCTCTGTCGCCCGCATAGCTGGCTTAAAGCTTGGCCGATTCCTTTTGGATCTGTTGCACTTGGTTCTGAAGCGTCTGCAGGTCTTACATGAAGTTCTGATGTTTGCGCTGCAGCGTTGAAACAGAACCAGCATCTCGGCCCAGTTCGTCCGACATGGCAACCTGCTTCTCTAAAATGCGACTGAGTGCGACACCTTGTAGTCGTAGAAGAACTTGTGTAATTCACGGGAAGCCGCAAGCATTTGCGTTCGGGTTTCGATCAATTCCAACAAGTCCTGCCAGGCCTCGTTCAGCTTGTCCTTCCATTCGGCGATTGTTGCCGGGCCGGAATGGCCGGCAGCTATCAAGGAGTCTGCAATGACGTTGACTCCCGCAACTCTTACACTTCCAATGGTTTCAGTGTCGTGAGCGAACTCCTTAAAGCGCTCCCATAGCAGAGTAACGTGATTGTAATCCTGGCCCAGTTCGTGAGAAGAGGCCACCACTTCACGATCAGCTATCCACTGCTCCAAGTCGCCAAGGTCTCTGTTGAGCAGGAAGAGCTGCAATGCCTCATCCAGCTTAGCGCGTCGTTCTTGCGCCAAATCCTTCAGTCCGGTATACAGCTTGTCCAGTTGCGACTGTTTAACAGCGACCTGCTCGGCCAAAGGATGTCCTTCAGCCGACAGGGCCTTTACAGTTTCACCCTGATTTCACTCTGATGGTGTCCGCATAAGCTTCAACGGCCGCTTCCAGATTTTCGTGCTTCTTTTATGAAGTTCCTGGCGCTGGTCTCATCTTTGCCCCGATCTTCCACCATCATGTAGAGCTCCTGCTCGCTCATCCAGCTCTCGGTCTCATTGGCATCGAACCGATACTGCTGCGCCCGCTCGTTCCTCAGCAAGTTGGCTCGTCTATTATAGATGGCTTCCTTCAACTCCTGCCACGCCTTGTGTAGCTCGTTGATCAGCCGGCTGAACTCT